AGAGGAACAAGATTTTCCTGCTCCAAATTCAAAGGGTGGGGGTTTTTTGGGGGGAGGGGGAGATCTCTTTGTCTTTCTCTTTTAACCAGGGTGGGGGAAAGCACCCTGGAACAGCTGCTAAGATTAGCTTTCCTGGCACCACCACCTGACCCCCCCATAAGCTATGGGGAGCTTGCCAAATCAGGAGGGGCAGGACCAGCCAGATCGCCCGCCTGGGGCAAAGGGGCATGGAGGGGGGGGTGTCACCCAGCTGGCTGCAGGGATGGGGGGGGACGGGACCGCCCTCCTTGTGATTTCCAGGAGACACAGCTATTGATTAGGGTCCCTTCCATCTCCTCCCTCGGGGCTGGGAAGAAGCCCTCCCAGTGCTGGAGGAGTTAAGCATTTCCAAGTGGCAGCTGTGCCTCCGGTCAAATGGTGCCAAGCCATCTCGTGCCTTGGACGGTTGGGGGGGGGAAGGAGGAGGAGGAGGTGGAGGAGGAAGGCTTCAGAGAGGCTCCTGGCCTGCCTGCCTGCCTGGCCAAGAAGGGAGGTTTGCATTCAAGCTCTCAGCCAGGAAATATCTGATGGAGGCTGCATCCAGGATGTAAGATGAAAGCAGCGAGCGGAAAGGAAGGAGAACCAAGCGCTGAAGCCAAAAGGCATCAGGAAAGAGAGAAGCTCGGCATAGTTTGAGGATCAGGCTCCCCCCCCCCTCCCGCCTCCTGGCCATTTTCCTTTTGTTGCGGGAAGCCAAGAGGCAGGTCTGGCCCCTTCACCGGAAGACGGACACGGGAGTTGGTCAGCCTGGGAAGGCAGCCAAGCTGGTGAAGTGAGCTTTAAGCCTTCTCTTGCAGTCACCTTGGCTTTTCCCTGGAGACGGGTTACATGAGCTGGCTGTGCAAGGAGCCTCTGTCAGACATAAACACAGAGAGAGGGAGAGGGAAAGAGAGAGAGAGGAAGAGAGAGAAATAAAGAGACAGTGAGAGAGGAGAGAGAGTTGAGAGAGGGAGGAGAGAGAAAGAGGAAGGAAGAGAGAGGAAAGAGTGAGAGAAGAGAGAAAGAGTGGAGGGGGGAGAGAGAAAGAGTGGGAAAAGAGAGAAAGAAAGGGGGAAGAGAGAGAGAGAAAGAAAGAAAGACAAAGAGAGAGAAGAGAGAAATAGATGAAGAAAGAGACAGACACAAAGAGAGTGAGACGAGAGAGGGGGGGAGAGAGAAATAGTGGGAAAAAGAGAAAGAAAAAGAAAGGGAGAAGAGAGAGAGAGAAAGAGAGACAGAGAAATGGCTGTCTAGACTCTTCTTAAAAACTTCCACTGATGAGGGAGGGAGGGAGGAAGGAAGGAAGGAAGGAAGGAAGGAAAAAAAGTAGCAGAACAATAGAGTTGGAAGGGACCTTGGAGGTCATCCAGTCCAACCCCCTGCTCAGGCAGGAGACCCACCATTTCAGAGAAATGGCTGTCTAGACTTTTCTTAAAAACTTCCAGTGATGAATGAGGAAGGAAGGAAGGAAGGAACAAAATAACAGAGTTGGAAGGGATCTTGGAGGTCATCTAGTCCAACCCCTTGCCCAGGCAGGAAACCCTAGAGTAGAGCATTTCAGACAATTGTTTATCCAATCTTCCACTGTTGGAGCATCTACAACTTCTGGAGGCCAGGCGTTCCACTGGTTAATTGTTCTCAATGTCGGCTCATTGTTCTCAGGGTCTCGCCCTGAGATGCTACAACCCTTGTAAATCCTTATCGGTTGCCAAGTGCCCAAATTTTGATCCACACAATCACCAGGATGTTGCAATGGTCGTAAAGTGTGACTTGTGAGGACCGATCACAAGTCCTTCCCCCCCCCCCGTGTCGTCTGTAACTTCAAACGGTCACAAAACAAACAGTTGTAAGTCCAGGACTACCTGTCTTGTTTTTTTTTTTTCTGGGACTTACCCAGAAAAGAGTCAGAAAAATTTTAATCAAAGAACGCGCAAGAGGCCAGCCTGAACGTTTGAATCCTTCCAAGGAGGCCAAAATGAGAATTAGAACTGGAGTTAAGAGGGGGGGGAAAAAAACCAAAAAACCACCCAAATGGCGCAAGTACATAAAATGTCTGTTTTATTCACAAGTCAAAAGCCTTTGATCATCTCCATTTGTGCAGAAAAACAAGGGAGGGTGACATTCTTTTCATGTTTAGAAGGACTTCAGCCTTCTGAGTTTTGTTTTGTTTTAATGGTGGGAAGAAAGATTGGATATTTCCCCCCCCCCCTGTATTTTTGGAGGGGTTTGACAGTTTACCAGAGAGCTTACGAGCAGAAGAAAAAATATTGTTGTTTTTAATTGCTTGCTTGAGATAGGCTCTCTGCATAAGCTAAATTCCTTTAGCTTTGATCTCTTGCTGCTTCCCCCCCCTTTCTCTCTCCCTCAGTTTCCCTTTTTGAGCAGCTTTGATTGGGCAACTGCCTCCTAACATGGATGCACTGGGCTGTGTAGCTCTTTTTTTGATTATCTGCTATCAAGGTGTTCTTAACTCCGAGTGACCACTTAGTCCTAGGCAGATTTTTAAAAAAATCCATGAAGATTTGTTCCCAGCTTGGTCTTTTAGCTTTTCAAGGTTATCCCCATCACTCCGTAATTTGTTCCTGTTTTTTTTTTCTATCTCTTTCTTTCCAATCTTTCTCAATATTAGTACGTGGCTCTTAGAACAGAGAAAAACTGAGATTTCTCCATCCATCTCGGCTAACCTAGATTGGTTAAAAATTTCAGAGTAATCGTTGCTTTGCTATCAATAAAAAGGGGTCGGTTGGGGATGGAAGGAAAAATTTGGTCTGGGCTGTTTATGGCTCCCTCGGTTAGAGAATAAACTCATGTTTGGGATTTGTGCCATGCTTTTTGCATCATAACATAATCGAGGAGGCTGGGTCCACCAGCATGCTAAGCAGTGGCGGAATTCAAATATGTGAATAACCGGTTTTTCTGTTTGGATGCTGCTTCCGGAAGTCCATTCTGGGCCTGGGCAACAAAAAAAACAGCTACCGTTTCTGCCGAACTGGTGCGAACTGGCTGAATCCCACCACTGAGGCTAAGGCATTAGCTTGGTTGGTTAAAACTAGCCATGCTTAGCTATTTGTGCAACAGTGGGGAGGGAGGAAGAAAAGAAGAGACAGATGGAGGGAGAAAGCGGGAGTGGGAAGGAAGGAGGGAGGGAGGGAGGGAGGGAGGAAGAAGGGAAGGAAGGAAGGAGTGTCGATGGAAGGGAAGAAGGGAGAGAGGAAGGAAGGAGTGGATGGAGGGGAAGAAGGGAGAGAGGAAGGAGTGTGGATGGAAGGGAAGAAGGGAGAGAGAAAGGAAGGAAGGAGTGTGGATGGAGGGGAAGAAAGAAGGAAGGGAGGGAAGGAAGGAAGGAAGGAAGGAAGAAGAGAAGGAAGGAAGGAGTGTGGATGGAAGGGAAGAAGGGAGTGAGGAAGGAAGAAGGGAAGGAAAGAGTGTGGGTGGAAGGGAAGGAGGGAGGGAGGGAGGAAGGGATGACCGTGGGGATAAGTCACATTTTTCAACTTCGAACAGTCACTAAATGAACTGTTGTAAGTTGGGGACTACCTTTATTTGAGTCTTTAGCAGAGGCATAGCACCCTGTAAAAAAATACCTGGGGGTGGGCAAACTGCCATTTCTGGGAGGCGCCTGGCACCCTACCCCAGAGGCCAGCCTGTGCCATCTGCCATTTTAATTCAGGGTCTGCCATCCCAGCCTCCCCCCCCCCACCTCCTGGCTGGGAGGAATGGCAGGAAGGAGTCAAGGGTCAACCCTTAAAGGTTTTCTACTAGTTGGTTTTTTATTTGGGGGTGGAGGGTGGGGGGAGATTATCTTCAACACGAGCTCCCTCTGGTGCCTGCTTTAGATTCCTCTTTTATCTTCTGATCATTTATCTTATTCCAGAAGGCATTGGAAGGAAATTGACCACTCTAATCTTACTCTTCCATTAAAAAAAAAAAAAATCAGATTTTTTTTTTGGAAGTGGGAGGGATTGCAAAGGAAAGGATTTTGAAGAAGCTTTTTATCTTGGAAAATAAAGGAAGTTTCCTGGATTAACTTCCCTTTCAGGAGCTTTATAAGGGCGCAAAGGATAACGGCAGTACATTCCTAAAATTTGCCTTGATTAGTTTATCCAGATTTTTTTTTGGGGGGGGCAGCGCTGATTTAAAACAAGAGATTTAAAGATTTAAAAGGAGGGGAAGGAAGGAATTACCCACGGAGAAGGGCAAGGGGGGGAAATGAGGGAAGGAAGACACAGGTGTAGGTTAAATAAGAACGATGCCTTCACTGGCCACAGCAAAGTAGTATTTATATTATTTTATTTTAATTTATTTATAGTAGTATTTATTTATTTTATTTTTTATTTTTATTTATTTATAGCAGTATTTATTTTATTTTATTTTTTATTTTATTTATTTATAGTAACATTTATTTTATTTTTTATTTTTTTATTTATAGTCGTTTTTATTTATTTATTTACAGCAGTATTTATTTTATTTTATTTATTTATTTACAGCAGTATTTATTTTATTTTTTATTTTATTTATTTATAGTAGTATTTTATTTATTTATTTATTTGTAGTAGTTTTTACTTTATTTTTTATTTTATTTTTATTTATAGAGGAAATCTTTCATTCATATTATTAATCAATATTGAATTAATAATCAAGGTTTAAAATGTCATATTTTTTCCTTTCTTCGCTCTAGCCAATCAGCGGCTCAGAAATTCAATTTTTTTTTTTCCCCTCCCGCCCCCCTCGCCGGCGGAACTAGAGTTAAAGGGCGGGGCTTAGGGAAAGGGGCGGAACGAGGCCAAGAACACGAGCGCGCATGCGCGCGCCTCCGCTCCCTCTACTACCTGTTTGTGTCCGGGCTAACCCTCCGCGCTTTCCCGCTCTTTTCGCCTTCCCTTTCCCCGCCCCTCGCCCCGTTCTCCTCCCGTCTGTTATCGCCTCCGCGCACGCGTTCGAGGAGAGGCGCCGCCTGCTCTTCCGCCCTCTCCTTTGCCCTTACGCCGCGCTGCGCAGGCGCGGGCGGCCTCGCGCTTGCCGTCGCGTCACGTTCCCCGCCCTTGGGGGTCATTGCGCAGGCGCGGTAGCTTCGTAGCCCTCTCGGGTCACGCATCATTGGGGAGGCTGTGGGGGGCTCGCGGTCGCCGTCACCATGGGGGTAAGGGGGGGTGAGAGAGGGAGAGAGCAGGGTTGGAGCCGGAGAGAGGGGAGGAATGGCGAGGGGGACAAAATTTGGGGAGGGGGCCACCAAGGGGGGAACTCGGTAACGGTGAGGGGCTTGAGAAGGGTCAGCATTGGGGGGGGGATTTGAGGTCATGGGGTTAAGAAGCCTGGCCTGGGGGCGAGAAAGGAGGGAGGCCCAGGCTGTAAATTGGGGAGGGGGCTGGGGGGGAAGAAAATGAAAAACGGGGGAGGGTTTCAGTGTATCCATTCATGGATGGGGGAGGGAACTAACGTGTAAACAGCAGCAGAAGAGACGCGTGTCTGCATTTATTCGTCTGATTTACCTGGCTGCCCACCACGTACATAGGACCCCGTATCGGTTAGGAGTGGAAACGGGTGTGGGGGGGAGGCTTTGGGTCTTAACGTTTTTAAATATCCAGCAGAGTTTGAGAGGGGAAAAAAAAACGTTTAAAAGTCTTTGGAGTGACTTCTCCCACTTCCTGGCTTCCAGGGGGTGCTAGACTACAGTTCCCATCCTCCACAGCCAAAGGGGGGCATCTCACAAAGTCAAGGGATTGGTATGGGGTGAGCTGGAAGGGATGGTCATGAAAAGAGGATATTGGAGATTTTACTTACACAAATACACATACATACATATCTGTAAAAATACGACTCCCGGGCATAATTATGAATAGAATAAATAATATGCGATCACCAGGAGAGTTTAAGTAAGAAAAATACTTTACTAAATGCAGCTTTTAGTAAAGTATTTTTCTTACCTAAACTCTCCTGGTGATCGCATATTATTTATTCTATTCATACATACATATATATGTACATATAAATGTACATGTATATACATATATACACACACACATATATATACATATACACACACATATATACATACATATAAATATGCATGTATATGCATATACACAGACACACACACACGTTAAATTTGGATTGCTGACAGTTAAAGGGAAGCTGATACAGCTATTTCTTCCTCCCATATAGCTATTTCTTCCTCCCATATTTGGGCTGACCGGGTGCATCATAAAACACACACGCGTATAAATATATATGAATATACATACACACACACATATATATACTTACACATACATATACACATACACTGCATGTATATATGTGAAGTCCATATTTGTTTTATCTTTACCCTGCCTTTAGTAACTTTACAAATCACTCAAGGCAGAGAACATGCTAATACTCCTTCCTCCTCGTATTTTCCCCACCACAAGAACCCTGTGAGGTGGGGTGGGCTGAGAGAGAGATGGGGGAACCGACCCAAAGTCACCCAGCCAGTTTTTATGCCTAAGGCAGGAGTAGAACTCACTGTATCCTCGTTTCTAGCCTTATGCCTTAACTCCTAGACCAAACTGCCTTTGTAAAACTTGGAATCTGTACTGTGGAAGAAGTCTTCATAGATGGGGAACTGTTCAGTTCTGTTTGTGTGTTGTGTCTTAGCATTTCAACCCTCCTGGTTGCAGAGGAAATCCAGCAAAGGGAAGGAGAAGAAGCAGAAACGGTTGGAGGAACGGGCAGCCATGGACGCTGTCTGTGCCAAGGTTGAAGCAGCAAATAAAGTGAGTATTTTTCCCCTCTTTATTATTTTATGATGCCAATTATGTCTCATCTTTCAGCTTCTCCCAACACCCTTGCGGCTGCAAAAAAAAAAATACCACGTGTAAAACTAAATTAATAAAAGTTAAAATCTGCAGAACGATGGAGTGCAGAGGTGTCCAACTTGGGGCAGCTTTAAGCCTTGTAGACTTCAACTCCCAGAATTCCACAGCTAGCTGGGGAATTCTGGGAACTGAAGCCCACAAGTCTGAAAGTTTGCCCAAGTTGGACACCCTTGATGTAGTGATTGGAAAGAAAACTCAGCTTCCAGTTCTTGAAACTTACCACCTCTATCCTGAAACTTACTGAACGGCTTTACCCCAAGAATTGCATAATATAGAAATTGCACAAAGTGTGTGTGGGGGGGAAACTTCCCTTATAGCAGGGGTGTCAAACTCAATTTCATTGAGGGCCGCATCAGCATTGTGGTTGCCCTCGGGGGGGGGGGCAGGGTGGGTGTGGATGGAGTGGGTGTGGCCTACTGGGTGGGCATGGCCAGCTCTACATCGTTCACGTCAAGGTTGCCTGTGGGGACCTGGGCAGGAGTGGGACAGATCTGAGGGTCTCTGGCAGAAGGGGATGGGACCGGGGCAAGCGCCAAGACATGATCCTCAAAGGGTGACCCCTCCCCAGCATGCACCCAGGGGGCAGGGGCCACACAGCAGGGGCTGGTTCCTTGCTGTTTCTAGATAGCCTTGTGGAGCGAAGACTGAATGCGTTTCAGCATAGATGGCCACCACAAAATTGTACATTGGTTCCCAGCCGGTCTGGGCCAGGGCCAAGGCAGCGGGGGCCGTTCCCTCACTGTTTCCAGGATGGCTTTGCGGGCCACATGAAACCACTTTGCGGGCCTTATGTTTGACGTGTCTGCCTTATAGGCTTCCACAACTTTTGGAGACAAGCCATTCCGCAGATTAATTGTTCCCATTGTCAGAAAATCTCTCCTTATTTCTTAGATCTCTCCTTGATTAGGTTTCCATCCCTTGCTTCTTGTTGGTTTGGAGAAGACCCACCTCTTCCTTGTGGCAGCCCCTCAGATACAGGACAAGTGCTTGATCGCTCTTCCGACACCAACTTTTTAGTTTGTCTTAATGCCTTTCTTTCTTTCTACAGCTCGGAGACCCTTTAGAAGCTTTTCCCGTGTTCAAGAAATACGACAGAAACGGGTCAGTAAAAAAGCCCGATGTCCTTTTTTTTTTGGAGGCGAGAGATTCGAACTCGGGCCTCTCCCTCTGCGACAAATAATTGCAAAGCGTCGCTCTTGTCCTTTACCTGTCATCGCAGTTTGACAGGATTTAACTGGGCAATGCTTCATTTCCACAAATTATTTATTTTTATATTTATTTCTTTTAGAAAAATGTATATAGCCGCCTACTCGCTCACAGCGGCTTTGGGGGGGGGCATGCAAACAATAAGAAGCAGTGTATTGAAAAAATTAAAATTAAAAAAGCCCCAGTATAAATAAAAAAAATGATAACCCCACCCACCTCCTGATAATAATAATAATAATGATAAAGTTGGAAGGCACCTTGGAGGTCATCTAGTCCAACCCCCTGCCCAGAAAGGAAACACTATAGTACCATTTCAGACAAAGGGCTGTCCAGTCTCTTCTTAAAAACTTCCAGGGTTGGAGCATTCACCGCTTCTGAAGGCAGGTTGTTCCACTGGTTAATTGTTCTCACTGTCAGGAAGTTTCTCCTTAGTTCTAGGTTGCTTCTCTCCTTGGTTAGTTTCCACCCGTTGCTTCTTGTCCTGCCTTCAGGGGCTTTAGAGAATAGCTTGACTCCCTCTTCTTTGGGGCAGCCCTTGAGATACTGGAACGCTGCTATCATGTCCCCCCTCATCCTTCTCTTCGTTAAACTAGACATACCCAATTCCAGCAACCGTTCTTTATATATTTTATTATCCAGCCCCCTGATCATCTTTGTTGCTCTTCTTTGTCCTCTTTCTAGAGTCTCAGCATCTTTTTTACATTGTGGTGACCAAAACTGGATGCAGTATTCCAAGTGTGGCCTTACCAAGGCAATGTAAAGTGGTATTAATATTCCAATTAATAAATAATCCTGATTATGTCTTGTTTTTTTTTCTTCCTTTCGCTCTTTTGTAACAGGCTGAATGTTTCCATCGAGTGCAAACGGGTCTCCAGCTTGGAACCGGCTACTCTGGACTGGGCCTTTGAGCTGACTAAAACGAACATGCAGACCTTGTAAGGGCCCTAAAGATACCCAGGAATAATAATGGGAGGCCGTTGGGCAGCCATGACCAACAATTGCGGCATGAGCAAAAGCTGGTTCAATCTCGCCCTCTCTGCTTCAGGAGCCCAAATGTTCAGTTGGCAAGAGGGGGAAAAAAAAATTTCTCAGTAGTACAGGTGGTCCTTCACTTACAATGCTTTGCTTAGTGACCGTTTTAAGTTACAGCAGCGCTGAAAAAGTGACTTTTGACTCCTTTTCACACTTAGGACCGTCGCAGCATCCCTGGAGTCATGTGATCAAAATTCGGACGCTTGGCAACTGACTCGTATTTATGACGGTCGTGGCATTCGCCTGGGTCACGCGATCCCTTTTGGTTCACTTAACTACTGTGGCAAGAAAAGTTATAAACTTTTCGCTTAATAGCTGTCTCGCTTATTAGTTGCGAAGTCGTGTCCGACCCATCGCGACCCCATGGACAACGTTCCTCCAAGCCTTCCTGTCCTCTACCATCTTCTGGAGTCCATTGAAGCTCACGCCTCCTGCTTCAGGGACTCCATCCAGCCCCCTCCTTCTCTGTCGTCTCCTTCTATTGCCCTCAATCTTTCCCAGCATCAGGCCCTTCTCCAGTGAGTCCTTCCTTCTCATTAGGTGGCCAAAGGATTTGAGTTTCAACTTCAGGATCTGGCCTTCTAAAGAGCAGTCAGGGTTGATCTCCTCTAGGACTGACCGGTTGGATCGCCTTGCAGTCCAGGGGACTCGCAGGAGTCTTCTCCAGCACCAGAGTTCAAAGGCCTCCATTCTTTGGCGCTCGGCCTTTCTTACGGTCCAACTTTCACAGCCGTACATTGCAACTGGGAAAACCATGACCTTGACTATACCCACTTTTGTTGGCAGGGTGACGTCTCTGCTTTTGTGTAGGCTGTCTAGATTTGGCATAGCGTTCCTCCCCAGGAGCAGGCATCTTTTAATTTCTTGGCTCACTTAGCAACAGAAATTTTGGGCTCAGTTGCGGTTGTAAGTCGAGGACTACCTGTACAAGGATCAGTTGTAAGTCATTTTTCATCGTTGTAACTTGCAACGGTCAGTAAATGAACGATTGCTGGTCAGGGATTATCTGCAGTGACTATATGGAGAACCTGGGCACAGAGACCCTTCTGAAAAAGATCATTACAGAAGGATTCCCAATCTCCCTGGACAGAAGGTTGTTGATCCTACCCTGAAGGACGTTCTCATTTCTTTTTTTTTTTTTTCCCTGTCCTCCTTCAAAGGTACGAGCAGAGCGAGTGGGGGTGGAAAGACCGGGAAAAACGGGACGAAATGACCGATGACCGGGCTTGGTACTTAATCGCTTTGGAAAACGGTTCCCTTCCGGTGGCGTTCTCGCACTTCCGCTTTGATGTCGAATACGGAGAGGAAGTTCTCTATTGGTAGGGCTTCCCACTTTCAATTTTGGCCACTGGATTGCCGGCTTGGTCAGGCAGGAAGGCCCGATAAACAAGAGCAGAATAGCAATAGCATTTAGACTCATATACAGCCCCATAAGACTTTACAACGCTCTCTGGGCCGTTTCCAATGTCAGCATTATTTGCATCTCCCCCCCCCCCCAACAATCTGAGTCCTCATTTTACCAACCTGGGAAGGATGGAAGACTGAGTCAACCTTGAGCCCAATGAGAATCAAACTGCTGGCAGTCGGCAAAGTTAGCCTGCAGTACTGCATTCTAAGCACTGCGCCACCACACCAGAAGAATAGAATAAGAAATAAAATAAGACTAGAATAGAATAAAATTAGAATAGAATAGAAATAGAATAAGAAGAGAAGATAAGAAAATAAAATTAGAATTAGAATAAAATAGAATAAGAATAGAATAAAGAATAGAATAGAAATAGAATAGAATAATATAGAATAGAATAGAATAAAAATAGAATAGAATTAGAATTAGAATAGAATTGAATAGGAGTAAAATAGAATAGAATAAGAATAGAATAGAATAAAGAATAGAAGAAAAATAGTATCGAATAGAATAGGAGTAAAATAGAATAGAATAAGAATAAAATAGAATAAAGAATAGAATAGAAAAATAATAGAGCAGAAGAAAAATAGTATCGAATCAAATAGAATAGGAATAGAATAAGAATAGAATAGAATAAAGAATAGAATAGAAGAATATAGAATAGAATAGAAGAATAGAATAGCAAGTACTGGTGTCAAATTAAAACAAAAAATTGTTGATGACTCTGCTAGGATGTTGGTATTTGCCTGCTTATTTCTCTCTTTCTTCTCCTAGCTATGAAATACAGCTGGAGAGCAAAGCAAGAAGGAAAGGTCTCGGCAAGTTCCTCATTCAGATCCTGCAGCTTGTGGCAAACAGGTAGGGCTGTGCTGCCCCATCCTTTCTGAGCTAGAAACCGCCCTGATCTCACTGGAGGAGTCCTTGCGGATTTTACTCCGCTAGGCGTGGTCCGACTATAACGAGCCGGCGCTGTCCGAAGACATTTTCCGCCGTCACGTGGCCAGCAGGATGTCAGGGAGCGCTCTGACCTTCCCACTGAAGTGGTACCTATTTATCTGCTTGCATTTGCATGCTTTCAAGCTGGTAGCTTGGCAGGAGCTGAAGCAAGGACGGGAGCGTACCCCGTCACATGACTCTGGTCTCAAATCTGGGCTGCTGGCTTTCCAGCCGGCAAGCCCAGAGTCTTAATTGCTGAGCCACCCACTGGGGCAAACTTTATTGATGTTTAACAAAACTAACTCTCAACATTAAAATCTGATATTCCAGCCTGAATGTTACGGTTATTAACGTAGCCAGGGCAGGCTCAATATATTTCTCGTTTATTCTTTACTAAACAGACATCTCCACGGTTGACGTACTGATGAGGACATACAGTCCTGCATTTTTTACAGTCCTGCAGTCATAAGGACTAGAGCCACGATCCACAAGCAAAAGCAAGCACACTTAACACAGGGCAGACATATCAGAACACAAGATAATCACTCCCAGGCACGGATGCAGCCTTTGACACAAAAGCTTTGTTCCTGGTTTCTTATTGGAGCCTTCAAAATGCTTGGATTTTAAAACTTCTGCTTAAGCAATTAGTACCGGATTAGATTCGTTAAGATTTATAGTGCTGTGGGAATTAAAATTCAGTGGCAATAAGGTTTCATGTGCCAGATGAAAAGGGAATAGGATCATTCTTGGTTAAATACACTGAAGCGCGTTTAGTTTCTCCTTTCGTGTAGAACTAGACATTAATTCAAAAGGTGGAGTTTCTTAGGAACTCTGCTGAATTTTTTTTTTCTTGTTTTCCCGTCCTGTTTTCCTCTCAACCCGTTCTGAATTTGACTCTCCCTGACTTTTCTCAGCACACAGATGAAGAAAGTCATGTTGACGGTCTTCAAACACAATCACGGAGCCAACCAGTTCTTCAGAGACGCTTTGCAGTAAGTAAAAGATTTAATTCTTCTCTCTCGGCGAGGCAGAAAGAAGAAGGGGATGGCTGTATAATTGGGGTTTTAAACAAAATAGGGCATCGCCTCTTTGCTTAGATTAATTAGTTAAAATTACTTTGGCCAACAACTAGACCAGGGGTAGGCAACCTCGGCTCTTTTATGACGCATGGACTTCAGCTCCCAGAATCCCTGAGTCGGCTATGCTATGCTGACTCAGGAATTCTGGGAGTTGAAGTCCATGCGTCATAAAAGAGCCGAGGTGGCCTACCCCTGGACTAGACCATTTCCCCAGATACGATCCAACTTCTGTTGATAAAACACCAGCTGGAAGGTCCTGCTTTTTTTTTTTTTTTTAAATTTGTCCTGACCCTTTAGATTTGAAATAGACGATACCTCACCGAACGTGTCTGGCTGCTGTGGGGAAGACTGCTCCTACGAAATTCTCAGCCGAAGAACAAAATTTGGGGAGGGCCAGCAGGCCCACTTGGGCACTCCGTGTGGGGGCTGTTGCCACTGAGGGGCTCCGTGGCTCTCCGACAGACTGCGCCACTCTCCAGGTAGGCGTGCCTTCCTCGTGGCTTCTCTTGACCTGTCTCAATTCTGGCTGCGCTCCTGAGTCAAGAGGGACAGAACTCCTGTGTGTCGGGATTTGAGGTTTTCCTCCCATCGGAGATCCTTTAAATCGAAGCCGAGTCATACCTTTAGGGCTGATCTTGCTTACCTGCAGCCTCGAACCGAAGTGGGAATCTGCCAGATTTTCTTTCTTTCTTTCTTTCTTTCTTTCTTTCTTTCTTTCTTTCTTTCTTTCTTTCTTTCTTTCTTTCTTTCTTTCTCTCTCTCTCTCTCTCTCTCTCTCTCTCTCTCTCTCTCTCTCTCACTTTTTTTTTCCCCATGGAAAATTTATGAGGTTCCTGCCTAAAGCCGCTGATGAGAATAGTGGATGAAGGATAGACTTTGGGGATGGCAGATCAAGGCCACTGGTGACAGTTCTGTATTAATTTGGTTCCGGCTTCCCACTTTTGTTTTTGAATAGCTGCAAGACGTGCGTTCATAATTTTGCCAGATGACTCCGGTGGGTTTTAACAAGAACGCTTGCTTCCTTTAAACCAGTCCCTTGGCTGTGTGTTTCAAAGCAACTCTGGCTGTGTGGGCTGATAGGAGGAGGAGGAGGGATCCACAACAGATTTTTAGAACGGGATCCTAAGTAACCTGGTGCATCTGGTTAGACCTCCCTCCTTGTTCATTGGGGACAATATCGGCGTGAATGGATTACTCCGTGCAACCTGCTTTTGGTCAAGTCCTCAAATCTGGACCTTCAGCCTAACTAAGATTGTTTGATTTCCTCTTGGCCTACTGCATCGGAAACAACTCAAGAGTGGTTTTGTTGTCCCAAAGTCCCAGTAGAAGCAATTGTGCACGCGCAAAAAAAAAAAAAAATCAATTTCACCTGGGAGTTGTGTGTTGCTATTGTTCAGGAGACCCTATGGTCATTGGTTTTGGAATTAAAAACTGCAAGCATTACATTCCCCCATCAAAAGATACATTGGTTTCTTCACATCTTGATTTTCCTCAGATTTTTCCATTGATGGATTTCTCCCTCAAAAAAAAGGGGAAGGGGGTTGGTTGAGCATGTTGCGTGTGACCTGCAAAATGCTTTCCAATTTGAAGCTGAAATGACACTGTTGTATTTCTTGGTGTATCTAGTGGGTGTTTTGTTATCTCTTTTTTTTTTTTTTTTTTTTTTGCATTTTGGGGAAGTTTTGTTCCACGGAGCAAATTTTGAGATAACGACTCTTTTTAGCCAGTAACTTTTGCTGGAATCAAAGGGAACAACTCGGTTTATTTTTAAATGAAAAGATTCACTTTTTGTCTGTTTTCAAAATAAAGGCTCTGTTTGATCTCCAGCAGGTTGCAAGTGTATCTGTGTTCTCAAGGATAGCTTCCTTTGTAATGTATTTTGGGCCTCTTAGAGTGCTGGAATGCTCTGCTTTTTTAAAAAAACATAATAGAACATCTTCTATGTTGCATAATCGGAGATGTTTTTTCTCTCCTGTCTGAGTACTTATGTACGCACCACTTTATAAAAGTGGGGTCTGAGTACTTATGTACGCACCACTTTATAAAAGTGGGGTCTGAGTACTTATGTACACACCACTTTATAAAAAGTCACAGTTCCAAATGAAGAACCACAAATTCTGTTCTTTGTCGCCCTCCCAAGATGGTCAGGCCTGTTAAAAATGGGCATTTGAGTCTGCAAATGAGATGCAAGTAAAAAGATTTTTTTTTTAAGAGGTCCCTTTGTATGTTGAAAATAAGCTGTCTGTTGTGACTAAACATTTTCTTTTAAAAGTGCCTCCTGTAGCCACTGGTCATGCTTTTGTATTTTAAAATATTTTCCTGCCTTCATTAATGGGGAGCCTCTTTTTGTGTTGATTTCTGGCCAATTGAGGATTATAATAGTTAATAGAGTTTAAGAGGAAAATAGGGTTTTGGCCTGGAAATTGCATCTCTCTTTTCTACCTGTGGCCATTCCATTAGCTGTGGAAAGGAACTACAAAGTCCATGCTGGCTAGAGAATTCTGGGAGTAGGTCCACCCCTCTTAAAGCCTTCAGGTTGAGGAATTCTGGGAGTTGAAGTCCACTCATCTTAAAGCAGGCTGGCTGGGGAATTCTGGGAATTGAAGTTCACCCCTCTTAAAGCATGCTAGCTGGAGAATTCTGGGAATTGAAGTCCACCCCTCTTAAAGCAGGCTGGCTGGGAAATTCTGGGAGCTGAAGTCCACCCCTCTTCAAACGGGTCACGGTTGAGAGACATTGGCTTAGGTGATACGGTTGTGGCGAGCAGGGGCCTAGTCAAATCAATCGGTTACATCCAAACACAGTTTACTTTCTGGCAGAGTTGTTTAGAAAGCACTGCTGCTGTTGCTACCTGAGATATTGGAGAGGCCTTCTGGAATAAGCTAAAAACAAATGTTGAGCTAAGCAGAAGTTGACAAGTAGCCAAGCCGATTTTTGCCTGGTGATTGGGCTAGCCAGCCCTATGATTAGGTCATGACTCACTGTGTGGTCGGAGCCCAGGAAATTGGCTTAATTGAATAAACAGTGATTAGTTTCACTAGGGGCAGATGTATCAGGCAAACACAGCCGTAGCCTTATCTCCTGCACTGGCAGCTTCCTTTGTCTGGAAGCTGGAATATATCTGCCAGGGGTCCCGTTTTGCGGCTTAGCTGACAAAAAGTTAGGCTCTTGGTACCTCTAAGGCTGCCAGTAACGGGACTTAACATTTCGCCATCTTGCTCTTTGCCCCGGCTGTCTTTTTTTTTTTTAATTTTTAATACAGCCTCTGAATACTTTCATCAATGACATTGTCTCATCCCAGCAAGGGACGAACAGCCTTCATAAAGGTAATACTTGAAAACCGATGTCAGCTGTAAAAAGCCAAAGATTAGGGATCAGTTGTCAAGGTTGAGAAACACTGAGTTAGCAGAAATAAATGTCAGTTATCTGAGTATTCTGCTGAGACTTCCATTCAAAGATGCGCACACACACAAAGGCTGGACACAGCCAGGGTATTGCTAAGGCGGCTTGGCAAAGGAGCCTTTTATGGGTCTGATAGCCTGTGTGCCTGGCTGAGGGATTCTGGGAATTGAAGTCCACAGGTTATAAAGGAGCCACGGTTCCCCCCATCTCTGCTTTAAGACATGCCATGTGAAGAAACAGGGACCCTGGTGCAAGGCTCTTCAAACTCGGCCCTTGGATGACTTGCGGACTTCAACTCCCAGCGTGCCTGGCTGAGGAATTCTGGGAGTTGAAGTCCGCAAGTCATCCAAGGGCCAGGTTTGAAGAGCCCCGCCCCCAGGTGTTATTATTACTCAATTGTTTGCAGCTTTTTTGAGGGTTGGACTTAATCAAAAAGCAACTTTATTAAGGGGTTCCTGGGAGGGTTGGTGCAGGGGGGGGAACGCTTTAAAAAAGACACGCCCCCTCTTCCACACCCCCCCCCCCCCCAAAAAAAGGACCCCCAGCAGCTTTGCAAAAGCAGCCTCGGCGTCCCTGGCTGGGCAAGGGCGCACGTGGCGGAGGGGGCGTGTCCGGGGAAGTGACGTCAGCGCCCGAGAGCACGTGCGGCCCGTGTTGTGATGGCCTCACAACCGCCGGCATGGCGACGTCCCCCCCCCATTGTGGAGCCGGTGGGGGGGGGGCAGAGCCCTTTCCTCCTTCCTTCAACCCCCCCTCCCACCCCAGCGCTTAATTATCATCCGGGATGTTGCGGAGGGGGCGGCGGTTGCCATGGAAAGAGAAGGCGGCCTAAGCGCTTCCGGGGCGCCCGCCTCCGACCCGGAAGCGCCTCCTCCCTGCAGGGTTGCCAGCGCGAAGATGGCGGCGGAGGAGCCTCAACAACAGCCGGAGCCCGTCGGGGGGGACACGGACGGTGAGGACGGGTGGGGGGGGCGCCGTGGGCGTCGTAAACTCGGGAGAAGGCCCCTCCCGGCTTGGGGGGGGCATCGCTCTGGAGGGGGGGGCTTCTTCTGGAGCCCCCCCCAGCAGGAGCGCCGTCGCGCCCCCTCCTCTTTCTTCCTCCCCCCCCCCGCCCGTTCAGCTCGGTCTCCTTGGCAACGGGGGGAGGCTCGGTCTCCTTGGGAACGCCCCCCCCAAGGCCTTCCTCTTTCTCTCCCCCCCCCCGGTCCCCGTCGCCATGGAAACCGGCGCACCTGGCCAGGAGGGGCTCGCGCCCAGGGCGTCCCGCCGAGGTAAAACTGCAGCTCCCATCCGCCCCGGCGGGTCCCCTGTGGATGATGGGCGCTGGAGGCCGGCCTGCCTCCCTTTTCCCGGAAGCCCCGCGGAGGCGATGGCGGCGCCCCCTTCCCCGGCTGCCCCGGGCGGGGTCGGGCTTGACCCCGGGGGTCGTGAGGATGCTCCCTCGTTGGGCCACGAGACGCCCGCAAGGAAACGGTCACAGCCCAGAGAGTCCCGGGGATCCCCCTCATTTGCACCCTCGGCTATAAATAGCTCCTCCACTCTGCATGCATGCATGGATATAAACAGAGGGAGCAAACCCCACACTGCACACAAACACACACACAAACTCCCCCCCCCCCAGCACGGATGATGTTCCCTAGCAAGGAAAGGGCGCCCGGCTCAGAGGGCACCAAGCATCCCTCAGCTCAGCCCTGAGCTACAAATATTCTCTTTTATCAGTACTCCTATTTACACATTTTAGAAAGGTGGGGAAAGGTGGGATGCAGTCATGCATATTCCTAGGTAAACAAGCCCTCATTTCAACCCCAAGCTGCCAATATTCTCCTTTATAGGCTTAACCTTGGCTCAGGGGGCGCTTCTGGTTGAAGTGACTTCTCCCAGCCTTTCCTTATGGGATGAGTCTACAGCAGTGTTTCCCAAACTTGACAATTTTAAGGCATGTGGACTTAAAATTGGTCTACAGAATAACAGAGCTGGAGGGGACCTTGGAGGTCTTCTAGTCCAACCCCCTGCTTGAGCAGGAGACCCTAGGCCACTTTGGACAAATGGCTGCCCAGTCTTTTCTTGAAAACCTCCAGTGATGGAGCACCCACAACTCCAGGAGTCTGGGGTTCGTGCACCTTGCTTGAAAACCCTGTTGTCTGCATTTAGACTATTTCCTCAAGTTGGCTCCTTTTAACCTTGGCTTGTTCCTTTTGGCATTATTCTCCCTTGCTCTTTTTTATCCCCAAATATTAGGAGATAAAACAGCCCCTTTGTTCGATGTTGCTCTCTTGAATTAGCTTGCAAACTAATGGTCCTGTTCTTCTGATTCTAACTCCTCTAAAACTGTGACACTCGTTCACTGTCTGTTATATTGCATGATTATGTGAGAACTGTGCTTAACAGGGTCTCTGTTTGGGCCACCGCTTTATGCCATGATCCGCTTTTTAAAATTTTGAATGTGTTAAATGAATGTGTTTCGTGGACCGTGTGTTTTGCGCTTAACTCTCGGTGTTGAAAAACATGGTTGTGGGTTAATAAAAGTCAAATTTATTTCAGGTTTTAGGCAGTCTGATTAAATCAGGATTTATTTGCTCAGGTATATAGCACGTTACCTGAATACAGCCATGGTTTCTAGCTAACTGAGGATTAGTGTGTTGTGTGAAAACACCCAGGAATAATCTTTCCTTTTTATCATGCTTTCTCCTTATACTCCTCGTACATCAATTCATGATTTTTCCTCCATACTCTGGTTTTTGTTAAAGTGTTTTTTTTAATGTAATTTTCTATTCAAAGTGTGTATAAATGATCCCTTTTCTCTAATGTTGCCTTATAAGACAATCTCTGTGTTATAGATGGAAGTTTGTGCAGAATAATAGGAGTGGGCTCGATGTGAAACTGAAGTTTATTGCATCTGTAACATCCTGGCCAAAATGTGGCATGTGGTACATAGTCTGTTTCTATTTTTGTTATTAATGCATGATTAAACTGGTCACCTACTGTTTTCAATATTTATAACATTTATATTATAAGTTATAAATATTTCAATATTTCTATTTCAGTATTTATAAAAAGCATTCTGTGAAAACCTTAAGTCAAGGGGTCACTGTGGACATGAATATGGTTCTAACTGTGCTAAGTAGAACATTGTGACTTGAAATATAAGAGGAATAAAAGATAAAAAGCATGAAATAATACAGACTAACACAGTTGGAAGGGACCTTGGAGGTCTTCTAGTCCAACCCCCTTGCTCAGGCAGGAGAACCTATACTATAATATATAATGAAATGGAAGAAATAAAAATAGGCAAAAATATAATAGATCTGAATGACTGATTTAAGTCTTGTGTGGAGTTGATGAATACATGTTAGCGAAGCAGGCGTTGACGTAATTACAAATGAAAGTGCTGTTAAAAAAAAGAGATGAATTGATGTCACTTACTAGAGATGCTCGGGAAAATTCTACAACATTCTGATTGATTGTGATCCAGGGAAAATTATTAAGTAAAATTAATGGGTGGATGTGGGATAAACGTATAAGAAATTGTGGTCTTGAATACCGCTGATTGGGATGTGAACACATGTTCTTTGGTGTGCAGACAATGTTGTGTTATTGGCTGCGAACCCAGATGATTTGCAGCAAACGTAAGATTTGTGAAACGAAACAAGAAATGTGAAACTGCAAATTAATGTGACAAAGAACAAAGTAGTTATGTCTGAAGGGAAAAATGGAGTGAACAGTTGCACATTCTACACAACTGGTGAAAAGCTAGAAGAAATTAATTTGGTGATCGTGGACGTTTTATGAAAGAGAAATAGAGAAATTTTCAAGGATTGTTTATGATTGTTTGCTGTCCAGAGTTAGTGGTTAGATGGGCAGTTATACAAATTGAATGAATGAATGAATGAATGAATGAAAAACAGAGAGAGAAAGCTAGTGGTTATTGTTGTTTATTCAGAGGATTAATGCAGGATTTCCCAACCTTAGCAACTTTAAGATGCATGGACTTAAAGACCTACTGGCTGGGGAATTCTGGGAGTTGAAGTTCACACATCTTAAAATCACCAGGTTGGGAAACCCTGACTTGGTCTTTGTCGAAGGATACAAAGGTATTCTCAATGTGTGTCTTTGCTGACTTTCTTTCTGGAAATCAAAGTTGATTTGTGTCAGGAGTAACATCAAGAGCAGTTGAACACAAGGAAGGCACTTAGAAAAACTTGCGTTAAAATAAAAAGGGGCCTGGAATTAATGGATATCAAATATTTGTCGGTTGAATAAAAGCAAGCAGCTAGTGGTTTGACTGTATAGAGAGAATATGGATTGAATTGTGAAAAAGAAATATGTAGGTGGGTGTGTAAATGTACGGCAGGGAGGGATGTTCAGCAAAGCATGTTCAGCTGGAGTGCATGAGATCCCCACAATCCCCACAGACAGTATCATTAAAGCACAAAAGACACATTATAACCACAATATTTGGTAAGAACAGAAAAGTATGGGCCAATACAGGAGATGCTACTGGTTTAAACTTGATCTGCTGTTTCCTTTTCTTTACCTCAATTCCTTTACTTTCAATTCCTCTTCTTTTACTACTATGTGCAGGGCGGGGGGGGGGGGTTGTGTGCTTTGCACAAAGTTACTTAGCCCCGGAGTGTGATGAGCATGTATTCGATTAGAATTTTATGTTTCTGATAATTTGCCAATCGTGTTGTTAAGTCTGCCGTGAGTCCGGATGACCTCATGTAGTTTTCTTGGCACTAGGATAAAAGTGGCCTGCTACTGGGGTGTTTTTTTTCCCCTTCTCTCTCATTTAAGGACTAATCTGAGCCCAGACAAGGTCAGACGGTCCCATCCGCCCTGTGTTTTTAAGTGATCTAATCAATAGAAATTAAGTAATTTTTCTGCAAATGTCCCTGTTAAAAGAAGCTCTACGAACGGGAGTCAAGCTTTTTGGTAGAAAGGAGCCCAAGACTCCCTGGGGTTGCATGGCTGGCTGCCGGCTTCTGTTCCAGCTTGTCTGGAACAAACCTGGTTTCCTTCAGAATGATTTATAGAAAGTGGGAGCTAATCACCTGGAAGACTCCCTTACGTTTGCTTCCTTAAGCCCTCTGGTTTGGCTCATTAGCGGCCAGGCGCATTTTTCAGACAGATGAGAAGCGAGATGCCTTCAAGGAAAAACAAAATAAAATCCAGCTGCTTTTGGGAAAAGCACCTTGCGGGCATTTTTCAGACACTTTATATTCTCCTCTTCTCCTCTCTCTCTCCTCTCCTGTCCTCTCCTCCTCTCCTCTTCTCCTTTCTCTCTCCTCTCCTCTCTTCTCCTCTCCTCTCTCTTCTCTCCTCTCCTCTCTCCTCTTCTCTCTCTCTCCTCTTCTCCTCTCTTCTCTCCTCTCCTCTCCTCTCCTCTCCTCTCTCTTCTCTCCTCTCCTCTTCTCCTCTCTCCTCTTCTCTCTCTCTCCTCTTCTCCTCTCTTCTCTCCTCTCCTCTCCTCTCTTCTCCTCTCCTCTCCTCTCTCTTCTCTTCTCTCCTCTCCTCTTCTCCTCTCTCCTCTTCTCTCTCTCTCCTCTTCTCCTCTCTTCTCTCCTCTCCTCTTCTCCTCTCTTCTCTCCTCTCCTCTTCTCCTCTCCTCTCCTCTCTCTTCTCTCCTCTCCTCTTCTCCTCTCTCCTCTTCTCTCTCTCTCCTCTTCTCCTCTCTTCTCTCCTCTCCTCTTCTCCTTTCCTCTCCTCTCCTCTCTCCTCTCCTCTCCTCTCTTCTCCTCTCTCCTCTCTCCTTTCCTCTCCTCTCCTCTCTCCTGTCTCTCCTCTCCTAGTTTGTTTCAGGAGTAGATAGTGCCTCTCCTTCTTAACTGACTCTTGCCCGTTCCTCTTTGTCCTTGGAGAATAGATTTATATAAAAAGACTCTTAATTGAAGGATTTGGATGGAGCATCCTCTGGTCCAAAGTCTTGGCGGCAAAGCCAGCCGGCTGTAATCTGGGGAGGGACCCCAGGGCTGTTCTGCAGGTTGCAGTCGCCATCACAGGAGGAAAGAGAGATGCAGTTGTCTGTCGTTGCCTCCTCACTGCAGTAGCATCCCAGCAAGCTGGGCGCTCGCAACACGGGATGGCCCCAGATCAGGTTTCCTGCTTTTCTGCAGCCTTGGCAGCTGCTGCGCGTAAACGGTGCCAGGGGAAGAAAACCTCTCTTCTCTGGCTGGCTTGCACAGCAGATAATCTCCCGAGTGGGCTGCTCTTTGTGCGAGAGAGAGTAGCGTCAGAGGAGCTTTTGGGGGGGGGGACAGCTGAGTTCAGGGTTTCCGATGGAGCCCACCCCGGGGGCTGCGAGGAGGTCTTTTTACCCCAGGCAACTCCTCCTCTTTGCGATGGGATGGGCCCCTTGTGCATCGCTGGGCGCTCAATGTCGCCCGCTGGGCGCTCAATGTCGCCGAGGGGCTCGCGGCCTCAAGAGCTGTAGAAAAGGTGGGGGTTACGAGCTGCTGGTGGATTGTCCCTCAGAGGGGTTGTTGAGTTTGGGGGAGCCAAGCTCGGCCTCGGAAGCCGACCTGCGTTCCTCGAAATAACATTCTCTTAAACTTTAATTGAAGGAAGACACAGCGGTAGACCTAACGACAGAGGGAAATAAAAGCCTGCTGTCTCTTCCAGCAGTTCTTTTTGCAAACTTCCATAGAGGGGAATTCTGTGAAGGAAATGCGTTGATTTCTTTTTTTGCAAAAGAGAGAGGGGGGGGGATTGCCTTGCTTCTTGTCTTTTGACATGTTTTGCTGTGTGAATTTCTTAATTTTGTTGACCGCTCCATTTTTTAGCGTAGGCCTTTCCAGACCTGTTCGACCCCTGGTTTTCCTTTCCTCTTGAGAAGTTGGCCTTGCAAGCTGGCACATCTGGAAGGGCCAAGATTAGAGTTTCTGGAACAACATCTGTTCTTTTTTTCCCCGTTCACCTTGATTGTAAATCACCCAAAGCTGGATTTTGTTTTTTCCTCAGTTGCTTTCTTCTCTTCCATTTTAGGAGTGAATTGTTTGGCCTACGATGAAGCCATAATGGCCCAACAGGACCGCATCCAGCAGGAGGTGAGTACTTGCGCACGTGGGGAGGGCCCTGCTTGGGTCCACCCACTTTATCTTCTCTTTCACGGCTCCGGCAGGAACCCACCCAAATTATACGTATTTGTAGACCTGCTCAAGCTTTATTCTGCCTTGCGTTCTCCCCACTGCTGCTTCTTTGAACCTCTCTGAGGTCCTACATAATTTCCTAAGAGTATCCCATTCTCCTACCCCCACCCCCAAATCACCCAAGGGAGAAGACTGTGCACACAGGTCGTCCTTGAGTTAGGATAGCCCCCCTCCCAAAATATTCATGACCTGGTTCCAAAGTTACGAGTCCCCCCCCCCACAAATTTACAGTCATTTGCAGTACTCTGTGTTTGGCAAAAATGCTGAACGATGGCTTCATTTAACGAGCACGGCGATCACTTAGCTGTGGTGATTCGCTTTTCTGGGGGGGGGGGAAATCCCCACAGGGGTAAGTTGAGAACTGCCTGGTGTGTTTCTCGATGTTGATGATTGACAGTGAATTTAGACGCTCTCCGTTTGCAGCGAGCACGTCAACAAAGTGTCTGTGGCATTTGGGTGGAATTGCTCATCAGAGAGGCTGGATCCATTTCGGCTGCCGCGTTGGGTGGCCGCATTGATTCAATCTGATTTGATCTGATTCAATCTGCAGATTGCTGTCCAGAATCCTTTAGTCTCGGAGCGGATGGAGTTGACTGTCCTGTACAAGGAGTATGCCGACGATGACCATATATACCAGCAGAAGATCAAGGTGAGAGAGTCACCTGTAGCCGACTCCGTGTGTGATCAAGTTTAAAGGAGCCAGGGCATCTTCTGTGGGAGAAAAACACCAGTTTTTCTCTTTTACAATTTCCTGAAAAGGAGGGTGATTCTGAAATGAAGACAGCCCTGATCTTCAATACAAGAAAGGGGGGGGGGAAATCCTTTTGCATCCCTTGCTTTATTCTTGGCAATTTAAAACTCAAAGGTGAATTGAATGTTTCTTTCAGGCAGGGCACGTTTTACTGGGCCTCCAGACTTGGCGACTGTAAGACTTGTGGACTTCAACTCCCAGAATTCCGCAGCCAGCAAGTCCCCAAACTTGGCTACTAGAATGTCCTGGTTCCGACAGATGAAACTCTTCGAAAGAACTTCACGGCATTGTTTAACTTAAAGAATCTTTATTCGAGTAGCACAGCATCGGCACGTACATAGGCAAAGCCAAAATCTGAATTCCCCTCCCCTGAGCACATAGTAGCAAACACAATTCCCTCCTCCAATGAACCGTCATAAATCCCATTCCCCAATTAGTTTGAAATGCATCGAATGTTCTTGCTTTGACGTATCCCTAGTCTGGCTGGCTGAGGAATTCTGGGAGTTGAAGTCCACAAGTCTTACAGTTGCTAAGTTTGGGCTGTGTAGACCTAAGGCAGCTTAACTGGGCCTTCGACCAGGGTGTGCTGAGTTCCCTCTCCGCTCTTCTCCCGGGCCAGGATCTGCTGAAGAAGTATTCGTTCATTCGGAAAACGAGGCCGGACGGGAACTGCTTCTACCGAGCGTTTGGCTTTTCCCACCTGGAGGCGCTACTGGAGGACGGCAAGGAGCTGCAGCGGTAGGCTTGGGGGGTCTCACGGCCGGGGAAGAGGGGAAGGGGAACCCCAATGCCTCCCTAGGCCAGCGGGGTTGAAGACGCCGGTCATACTGATACGCAGATTCTGAGGTTTTGCTTGATAAAGAAAATACAGAAGTTGCCTTCAAGCTTTACGTTTTTATTCAGCTGAACAAAGACGGGCTCCTCTAGAAGAGAGAAAAAAGCCCCAAATATCAGAAAAGCCTTTATTTTTATACCGTCTTTGATTACATAAGCAACCCACCCAGCAAAGCTGACACACATAAGATAAAGACTTTGCTCTTTTAAGGCTGGCACTCTAGATGAGAAGGAAGAAAGCAGAACTAGCTAAAATTGTTCTCTTTGGCGTGTTTCCCATATGTTCCCAGGTGGGTTAGGCTATGGGGTGTTTCCTTTGCTGTCCTGTTATGCCCTTGCACGCATGATTCTGCAAGTGGCCAGAGACAGCGGGGCCATCTGCACGTATCCACAATTGCTACTGTCCCCTAAGTCCAAGTCAACAGAACGCAGACATTCACGCCGGCGGTCTCATTTCAGCTTCAAAGAAGTGGCGGCCAAAAGCAAAGAAGTGCTGGTTGCTCAGGGCTTCACGGAATTCACCATTGAGGACTTCCACAACACGGTAAGGCCTGGTCCTGCCCCCCCGGGCATTTGAAGGCCCCCCAAGGCCAGGCCAGCCGGGGGCGATGGGAGTTGCGGTCTAACCCAGGGGTTTCCGGACTTGGCAACTTTTAAGACTTGCGGGCTTTAATCTCCTTGTGTGATCCGAAGCCAGGTGCTCAGCAACCGACTCCTCTTTACGACGGTCGCAGCGTCCCAGTGGGGTTACAGGCTCCCCTTTTGGGGACCTTCTGACGGGCAAAGTCGGCGGGGGGAAGCCAAAAGGGTGCGACTCGTTTAACGACTGCCACGATTCGCTTCCTAAGGGTGGCCAGAAAAGTCGCAAAACTCACTTAACCATTAGCAGCAAATGAGCAGCCGGGCTCCATTGCGGTCTTAAATGGAGGACTACCTGTTCAGAGGGGATTTTAAAAATGGCGGAGTTTTTGGGGGGAGTGGGGGGAACTGGGAACGGGTAGATGAGAGGCGGGAAAGAGAAAGTCTGGGAGTTGTGGGGTGTCCCTTCATTGGGAACCCCCCCCCCCTCTGCAAATTTCTCCTCTTGACTCCCTCCAGTTCATGGACCTGATAGAACAAGTGCAGAAGCAGACCACCCTGAGTGAGCTGTTGGCCTCCTTCAACGACCAGAGCACCTCCGATTACCTTGTCGTCTACCTACGGCTGCTGACGTCCGGCTACTTGCAACGAGAGAACAAGTTCTTTGAGCACTTCATTGAGGGAGGACGGAGCATAAAGGAGTTCTGCCAGCAGGTCAGGCAGGGCCCGGCGTGGGGTGGGGGGGCTCGAAAGGGAAATGAATAATTTGGGACCGGGGGGGGGGGGGGAATGCCTGGAAGGCCAGCCCTTTCTCTGCGTTTGGAGATGCACCGCTCTCTCTCTCTCTCTCCGATTTAACCTATAAATCTTCATTGTGCTGGCGTTTCTAGTCCTCATGATAGAGAGGAAGGAAGGGCCGTGTTTGCTCGTGGGCTTTGAGCAGCCTGGGAGGGAGTAACGGTTTCAAGCAACGTCCGGGCAACTATTGGTTGGCCTGGAGCCGCCTGTGTCTCAACCTCGGCAGGGCTTTAAGATGGGTGGACTTCAACTCCCAGGGTTCCCCAGACAACCTCCCCAGAACCCCCGAGAGGGGATGATGGGAGGTGGGGGGCACCATGTCATTTAATCACGGTGGGGTCCAAGGTCAGGACTCTCAGACACTTTGTCCACTTAGCTCCGAGGCAGGACGATGAACAGCTGGTATCCAAAGCCTCCACAGATCCAGCAAGCTTTGATCACATTTAAAGGCCCCCCATCTTACCTTAAGGCAACTCAGGCCTGTGTTTCTAGTCCTCCTGAAGGCAAAAGAGCTCGCCTGCAGGCCTGGGTGGGGGCATCCTTCTGCCAGCAGATTGGGTATGTGTGTGTGTGTCAACTTCTCAGTGCCTGGTGCCCCTCTGGTTGTGGACTCAAACCGCCTCTCTTCTCCCACCCCGGCCCTCCCTCTCTCTCTCTCTTTTCCAGGAGGTGGAACCCATGTGTAAGGAGAGCGACCACATCCACATCATTGCCCTGGCCCAGGCCCTCAACGTCTCCATCCTGGTGGAGTACATGGACCGGGGCGAGGGCGGGACCACCAACCCCCACGTCTTCCCCGAAGGCTCGGAGCCCAGAGTGTATCTACTGTACAGACCGGGACACTATGACATCCTGTATAAATAGAGGGGGTGGGAGCGAGGCAGGGGGCTGGCCAGCCAGCCCCCCCCCTTCCTGCCTTCTTACTCTCTCTCTCCCCCTTTCCCCTCCCCTTCCTCCGCTGCCCCTCGCCCTCCCCCCCGGCGTTCCCCATCTCGCCCGTGTTTTCCCACCACCCACTCCCCAGGGAGCCTCGTCTGTGCTTGTAAATGGTGACCGTCCTTGCTGCCCGTCTCGCTCACTTGGTTTGTTTATTATTATATATTTTTCCCTGCTTCCGTTGTTACACTCACACACTTCCGTGTTTTATTAAAGGGGATGCCGGTGAAACTAAATTTTTTCCCGCTTGAGGCTTCTCTCTCGTTTCTGCGATAGGAAGCTGCTGGCCCCTGCCAGTGATGGAAGGCACAGACTTTAAGAGCAGGGGTCCCCAACCGTGGCCACTTTAAGACCCGTGGACTTCAACTCCCAGAATTCCCCAGCCGGCTGGCTGGGGAATTCTGGGAGTTGAAGTCCACGGGTCTTAAAGTGGCCACGGTTGGGGACCCCTGACTTAGAGCACACTGGCAATCTTCCTTGACAAATTCATCCTCGGCAGGCTGCACGCAGCAAGAGCCTAGTCCTCAGGGTTGCTGTTGAACCATCCCCTGGCCAGGTACCTGCAGCTGGGGTTTTTTTTGTGTCACATCCCTGGGGCCATCCCTTGGCCACTGGCCAACGGCGTCTTAACAGGCTGGTTTTTTGTTTTTTTTGCGATGCCAAAGGGAGCAGAAAAGTCTTTTGCTTCAGATATTTTGTTCCGGTTCTCTTAGGAGAGGCAGAACAACGGCGCTCCGTTTTCTCTGGCCTTTTTTTTTTTCCCCCCCAGCCACCCTAAGCAGAAAATTGCTAAGCACGGCAGATTGTCTGCCAGAAGGGGTTTCATTTTTAAGGGGGGGGGGTAAACGCTCCGCAGTTTAAATATAGTCAGGCTAGCCCTCTTCCATTATCTGCCAAATGTGGGTCAAGTAGTAGGCGGATGTAATTCGCTGTATTTGTGTCTGTGTGTGTGTGTTTCACACACAATTCCAGCCCTGCGTCCACTCGCTCGCCCCCATCCCTCTACCAGGCTTTACGAACTGGATTCGTCTTTGCATTTTTATTTTTTTTTTATTTTCATTTTTATTCCGGAATTGCGGCCGTTGGCGCTTGGGGAAGGGGGTGGGTGTTTTCTTCCAGCTTTCCCCCCCCTTGGAAAGGACCCGGCGACGTCTCCTGCAGAGAAGCAGCGGGATCGTCGGGAAGCGGCTTCAGAGCTTGGCGGACGGCGTTTCCTCATGAGGATCTGCGGGGAAGAAGAGCCAAGGGTAAGATCTGGCCCGCTGCAGTTGCCTCCCATTTCCCAACAAAGCATCGCCTCCATTTGAGCCTCAGTTGCCCCAAACAACTGCTGTGGGTCTGTGTTGCACCTTCTGGGGAAGGCAGGCAAGGTGTGAACACGTCCTGTCTTCAGTGGTAGAGAAAAACAACGTGTGAAGAGTCCATTTTCGGAGTGAAATGTGCACGTGCAGAAGTGAATAAATTTAAGCCAGCATTAAACTTGACCTGTGTTTGCACAGTGCAGAGAGAAATATAACCAACTCTTGATCATTTCTCTCCTCCTCCTCCTCCTCCTCCTCCTCCAATTTGTTGTTGTCTGCCTGTTTTCTGCTAATTCTAGGCCTGTTACTTATTTCACCCAAGCGTGGGAATGTTATGCCCTTTATAAGCCATATTCTGATTTATTCATTCCTGTTCTTTGCCTCTCCTTGTTGCTTGCCATTCTTTTAACCATTCCTGGCGGGGCGGGGTGGGGTGAGCTGGTTGCACAGTGGTATGACGTGTGAAAGCAGCATGGGACAAATTCTGCATCGTTCTGGGAAGGGGGGACGAGGGTCCGAGGCAGAAATGCTAAAATGCTGGGTGCTTTTCATAAAACGGTGATGTCAGGACGGTGACCGCCAAAGTGCTGGGAGCTTTACTCCGCTCCCGCAGAATCTGTAAGTGCTTATGTATAAAAGGAAAGAAGAAGAGCAGGCAATCCTCTTACTTACGACTGGAGTCGGGACCCGAATTTCCATTCCGTTGTTAAGTGAGCCGCGCCCAATTTTACAGCCCTTTTTTTTTGTCACGTTAAGCAAGTCCACTTGGTTGTTAAGCGAAACTGACTTCCTCCATTGACTTTGCTTGTCGGAAGGGGATCGGCTGACCCCGGGACAAGGCAACCGTCGTCAATATGAATCAGTTGCCAAGAGGCCCACATTTTGATCGCTTGCCCGTGGGCTAAATGCTACCCTGGTCATAAGTGCGAGGACCAATTGTAAGTCCCTTTTTTTTTCAGGGTCGTAACTTTGGTCACTAAAGCTAGCAGTGGGTAAGTCAAGAATGATCTGTGCAAAGCCTCCGTGGGTCTTCCCTATCTCTGCCACCGGGCCGGAGGGAACAAGAGTTTTAGTGAGCAAAAAACAGGCTAAGAAACGGTTAGGGCAAGCATGCGTTTCCCACGATGCACTGCACACGATGCTGGGAAATGCTTACCCCTTTAGGAGCAGGGAAAGGCTGGGGGGGGGGGTCAGGCTGGAAACGAGAGGAGGGAAAGAGAAGTTTCCAGAATGCCATTGATCGTCCCTTGACATCCCCTTCTTGCCACTTAGACCTGCGTTTCTCAACCTGGTCGGCTTTTAAGAGGCCTGGACTTCCAACTCCCAGAATTCCCCAGCCAGCATCTGAGGCAGGGACTCACCGATAGGGAAAAACTTGGGCAGCTTCTCCTTATAAATTTCATCATCCTTTTCCAGGAAAACACACAGGACCAGCCGCTCGACCTGCCCAAGATAACCACCACAGTTAGCAGGAGAAGGAAGGGGTGTGTGTGTGTCTGTCTCTGTGTGTGTGATATTTGAATTTTGTGTGACCCTCCCCACCTTCATGCATTGCTTGCAACTGGCTCCATGGAAGGTTGAAGGTCCTGCCTCAAGTTAATTGTCCAGGTGGACTTAACAATTTTTCCTTTGGGGGTCAGGGATTGCTCTACTTCAACGCCAAGCAATTTTATTTTATTTTTTAAATTTCTCATGAGTTGTGTCTGGACACCCCTGGTTACCGTCTTTGGGGTGATTTCTAACACAAGGGAGTTGTGTCTTTCACTGCCGCTTTATCTTCAAATGGCCACTGGGAGCTGCAAAACTTGCGTGCGCACACAAGGGGTGGAGAGCTTGATTGAAGAGTTTAATTAAAAAGAAATAGAGGCTGCTGTACACGAGTTCTCTCTCTCTTTCTCTTTCCTTCTTTCTTTCCTCTTTCTCGCTCTTCCCTCTCCCTTTCTTTCTCTTTCTTTCCTCTCTCTCCCTCCCTTTCCTCTCCCTTTTTCTTTCTCCTTTCCCTCCCTTTTCCTCTTCCTCCCTTTCCTCTCTCCATCTTTCCTCTCCCTTTTTCTTTCTCTCCCTCTTTCCTTTCCCTTTCTTTTTCTCTTTCCTCTTTCTCTTTCCTTTCTCTCACTTTCCACTCCCCCCTTTCCTTTGTCCTTCTCGCTCTTTCCTCTCTCCCTTTTCTCTCTTCCCTCCCTTTTTCTTTCTGTTTCTCTTTCCTCTCTTCCCTTCCTCTCTCCGTCTTTCTCTTTCCTCTCTCCCCTTTTCTTTCTCTCCCTCTCCCTTCTCCCTCTTCTTTCTTTTCTCTTTCCACTCCCCCTTTCCCCTCTTTCTCTTTCCCTCTCTCCTTTTTTTCTCTTTCCTCTCCCCTTCTCCCTCCCTCTCTCTTGTCCCTTTCCTCTTTCTCTCCCTCTTGTTCTGTCTCTTTCCTCTTTCTCTTTCCTCTCCTTTTTCTTTCCTCCCTCTCCCTTTTTCTACCTCTATCCCTCTCGTTCTGTCTCTCCCTTTCCCCTCCCTTTCCTTTTTTCTTTCTTTCCTCTCCCTTTCTTTTCTTTCCTCTATCCCCTTCTCTTTTCTCTCTTTCCTCTCTCCGTCTCTTTCCTCTCCTTTTCTTTCTCTCTCTTTCTCTTTCCTCTCCCTCTCTCCCTTTCCTCTTTTTCTCTTTCCTTTCTCTTTTCTTTCTTTTCTTTCCTCTCCCTTTCTTTTTCCTCTCCCTCTCCTCTTTCTCTTTCCTTTCTCCCCTTCTCTCCCTCCGTCTTTCCCTCTTGTTCTGCCTCTTTCCTCTCTTTTTTCTCTTTCCTCTCTCTCTCTTTCCTCTCTTCCTTTCTCTCCCTTTTTCCCTGTTTTCCTCTCTCTTTCCTTTTTCTCTTTCTCTCCCTCTCTCCCCCCCCCCTTCCTCTCTGATCTTCTGCTCACCTGACAAGTTGGTTTCAAGCTGTTCTCCAACAAGCTGACAGAGATTCTTATTGGGCTGGCTTTCTCCTGCCCTTCCTGCTTCCTGCAGAGACGCAGCCAAGGCAGGAGCTGACAATAAGCTTGTCAGCTCGTCGGATAGGGTGAGGCCACTCTCTTTTTTACACAGAGAGAGAGAGAGAGAGAAGTGCAAGTGCCTCTGTCTCTCTCTGCAAATGGCAGAGCCGCGGGTTACCGACCCATGGTCTAGTCTCTTCTTAAAAGTCACCAGCGATGGAGCGCTCACAATTTCTGGTGGCAGGCTGTTCCACTGGTTGATTGTCCTCACTGTCGGGAAGTTTCTCCTTAATTCCAGGTTTGCTTCTCTCTTGAGAAGCTAATATTAGGTGTTTGGTCAGAAAGGAGACACCAGGGAGAGCCAAATTGCTGGTCTTTCAGATGCAACCAGACGCCTCCCCCCCCCCCTCCACACACACACCTTGTCCTTGTTGTCCTCTAGCCAATTGTGCAAGGTGTTCAGAACCACCTCCGCAGCAGCATCATTGGGATAGCCTGGGGAGAACATTGGAAGTGGCTGAGTACCTGGGCAGTTATCCTGTCCCCCTCTCTCTTCCCTGCCTTAGGTACTTACCAAAGACCCCCGTGGAAATGCAGGGGAAGGCCTGTGGGCAGAGAGGAGTATTAAGAGGGTGGGTTAAGGATGGCTTTCGGCCTTGAGTCGGACACGAAAGGCTTCTAGGTTTTAGCTAAAGGTTTTCTCTCCCGTACAAAGGTAAGAAAAAGTAAAAAAAAGGTAACATTCCCTCCCCTTCCCCCCCCCCATCTTGGGAAGCCTCAGCTTCCAAAAGGGTGATGTGGGTAAAACGAGTCTTGTGTGTGCAGCAGGAGGGACAATAAACGGATACGTACCCAGAAATCCTTTGAGTCAAAACCGCAGCGAAGTTGAACTAGTCTCGATCAGCTGAAAGTGTAAGCTCTTTCGTCCTTCCCTCATCATCTACACACACACACACAAACACACACACACCCCAGCCCCGTGTTTTGGATGGTGTTTTCCTCAGGGTCTCCTGCCCGAGCAGGGGGTTGGACTAGAAGACCTCCAAGGTCCCTTCCAACTCTGTTAGTTACTCTGCAAATGCGTTGGACTCCAGTATCCAAAGTCGGTGCCTCTGACCGGGGGTGGGGGGGGTGGGGGGGAGAGGCAAGGCCTGCTCAGACCTTTGCTGAAAAGCCCTGGCCTTCCTCTCCTCCGTCCACGGTGCTACGTCGACTGAGGTTTAAGCTGATTATCTGAAAAGTCTTAGGAGGGTCTTTGTGTTGCGGGCTGGGATCGATATTTCAGAAACGGTATACAGACCCCAGTTGGACCTTTAGCTGTGGCTGGAGAGCCTATCTCCTCTCTTGTAGGAATTTCCCTTTCCTGCCTTCCGGTCTTTCCCAACACCCCTTGAGTTGGAGGCTGTCGTTGTCGTTTTAGCCCGTGGCTTGATGGAGTTTCTGCCACAGGCCTGAACAGAGCAGGAGACCAAGACTGGGCAAAATAAAATGGGCAGCTTAACTGCCAAGGTAAGTTCCTTAGCAGTCCTGAGAAATGGATGGATTAGGTCAGCCCTTTGCTACTTTTAAGAGGTGTGGACTTCAATTCCCAGGAGCCCCCTCCTGGCTGGGGAATTCTGGGAGTTGAAGTCCACGCCCCTTAATGCAGCCAAGAATGCTGATCATCTTCATCCTTTTCTAAGTAGCGTCCAATGAGGCGGGCAGCCTCGTGACCTCCACGCATTAGGGACTCTCAGTTCCCATCATCTCCAGCTTGAGGGACCTGATGCGCTGGCTTCTGCTGCCGAGGGGAGAAGGGGACCACCAGGTGATCCCCTTAACGCTTCCAGTCCCTGCTTGGCGTACTCACCACCGTTTGCAGCTTATTCTCCAGGGCGAGTTTCAAGCTGTTCTTGTAGCAGTCGCCGAGTTCGGTCTGCTGGGAGGGACTGGGCTCCCCCTGGGCGATGGGCCCCACCGTGTGAATAACAACTGGAAGGCAAACGTGGGGTGCTGTTGGAAGCAGCCCCGAAGCCCCCTCCCCAGGTTCCTCAGAGACCTGGGTGAGAGAAGCAAGCTGGCTCTCTTTCGGCCTCAGGCCAACTTCGTGATATACTTGAAATACTTTTACAAATTAGCAAATGAGAGCTTTAAAATAATTCGCTCCATATCCTATGGGGGTCCCCCTCCCTCCCCCCGGTATGGTGCCCCCCCCTCTCTAATCCACAACCATTTATCCTGCTTTAATGTAGCCGTCTTGGACCTGTTCCACTTTGCTTTTCTTCGGCCTGCACTTAGCCACCCACTTACCCGTGCAACAATATATATATATATATATATATATATATATATATATATATATATATATATATATATATATATTAATGGCCCCTTTTGTGAAAATGAAGTTTACACACTCGCGCAAAGACAGCCTCGGAATGATTGTCACTCGCTTTTGGCTCGGCCAGATGGAACCCGAACGGGGAACTGATCATTACGGACTTGGCTCGCCTCCTGTCACCCTGTCCTTTTCCCCACGTTTGCTTTTTTCCCCCAAGAGTTTCTGGAAAGTCCCCTTTTCTGATTCGAAGTTGCAATCCTTTCTCGCTTTACTTTGGTCCTCCGAGGATCAAAATAGCCCCCCCCCCAATGCTCTTTTGGATTAAATAGATTAAAAAAAAATAGCAAAGCTCTCTCGCAATCTGTTATGACTCATTTGAAACCTCTCCTGCCAGCTGCTGTGTGTGTCTTTGAGCATCGGTCATGCACGCATCCTGCTCGGCGTCCTGTACGTGGGAAGGCAGAGTTACTTGCCTTTCCTAATTCTACAAGGGGGGGCTGTGTAATTAAAGAGAACATCTGCAATTAGAAACAAAAAAACCCCTATTTTATTGGCATGTTCCTCTCCTGTCAATAGGTGAAGAGCAGAGAGAGAAAGTGGCCTCAGAAATGGCGAAGAAGATTAACAAGGGAATATTAGGGGGGGGGAAGGGGGAGAAAGACATCAAGCCTCCCCCCCCCAAAGCTGGGTATTCCTGATGCCTTGTTGCTGATAAATGCTCAGGTGCAAAGGCCGGCTGGGGTCACCAGGGGGTGCTATTGAGCTAGCAAACAGAATACTGCACAGAATTGGAAGGAAAGTGAGCATGTTGTGGCTTTCTGCACATGTTCTGCTTGTGACTGGGCTTGATTGGGGGGCTACAGGTGCCCCCCTTTGCTGTGGGGAGCAGGGCAGGGCCATCCAGGCCTGTTTCAAGCCTGATTGGGCAATCTGGCAGGGTTGCCCCCCCTCCGGGTGTCTGTTGGAGCTGCCGGTGTTTGCCCACTGACGTGGTTGCCCACCTGCTCCTGAGCCAGGGGTGGCAGAATAGGGGTGGGGGAGCCCTCTCCCAGGATTGGGCCAGGGAAGAAGGGGGAGCCCCCGCTAAAGGCAGTGCTGGCAGCCTTGTCCCACCTGAGAGGGGGACGCCCTTGGCCTGGGTTTGGAAGAAAAAAGATTGAGCTGTGCTGGAGAAGGCTCCATCCCTGGAGATTTTCAACAAGAGACTGGACAATCTGAGATGGTATAGGTTCTCCTGTTTGAGCAGGGGCTGGACTAGAAGACCTCCAAGGTCCCTTCCAGTTTCTCTTCTCTTCTATTCTATTCTATCCCGTTATTCTCTTCTATTCTATCCTGTTATTCTATTCTATTCTATTCCTTTATTCTATTCCAGTGATGGCAAACCTTTTACAGACCGAGTGCCCAAACTGCAACCCAAAACCCACTTATGTATCATCGGGTGCCGGGTGGGTGTGGCCCATTGGCTGGCCGTGGCTGCGGTGGTAACGGCAGACTGGATGGGACTAAAAAGTTCAATCAATTCCAACTTTGCAAGAGATCTTTTTTTTTCCGTGAGAAGTTGAAATTGATTGATTGAACCTTTTTTTTTTGTACACAGCGGCAGAGGCCTAAAGCGAAAAGGTTTTATAAAACCCAGCTGAAGGCCTAGGACTGGGGCGACGGCGCGCGTGCCCACAGAGAGGGCTCTGCGTGCCACCTGTGGCATGCGTGCCATAGTTTCGCCACCATGGTTCTATTCCTTTTCTATATTCTATTCTATTCTATTCTATTCTATTCTATTCTATTCTATTCTAATTTCCTTATTCTATTCTATTCTGCTCTGCTCTGCTCTGCTCTGCTCTGCTCTACTCTACTCTATTCTATTTCTATTCTATTCTATTCTATTCTATTCTATTCTATTCTATTTCTATTTCTATTTCTATTCTATTCTAATCTTGCCGGTTTGGTGCTTCAGCGTGTCTTAACCCTGGTGCATAATAAATGCCCGGCATGTGTAATGCTCGAAGCCATAAAACCTAATTTATAAACTGAAGCCTCTGGCTTCCATTTGCGTATTGCGACAACAGGTTAAGTATGTAAATCAAGCCACTGTGATTGATAAATAGAGTTGAGCCCAACTGTTGAGTTCGCCTGAACCAACAATGTGCCACGTGGGCTGGATTCCCGCAAAGCGCCAACTTGAAAAGAGAGTGGCCGAGCTCCTACTTCGGCATCCTTGCAAAAATGCCAACACTCAAAAAGTTGTGCCTGTAGCTCTTTCCTGATTTGGGGAGGGAGGGGAAATGGGGGCTTTGAGCATTCAGTATGGGGAAAATTAGACCTTCGAGGCAGTGGCCGGGCAGAGAAACTTTCAGAATGAGTCTGAGTCTGATGTTCTTTCAAAGCAACTTATTTCTACAGAGAGCGGGGGGAGGGGGTTTAAAAAATCCCAATAAAGAAAAAAATCGGTTAGTCCGCTGTTTGCAAGCAAATCGATTTAATCTCATAGAGGGCTGTTGCTGGTGCAAAGGAGGGTGTGGGGAGAAACCCCTTCACTCTCTTGTCAAAAGAGACGGGGGGGGGGAATTAGCAGCCCAAACTGTCATGGGAGGGGTGGGCGGGCAGGCAGCCTGGCGTGAAATTCAATTACAAGGAAGGGAGGTGGGCAAGGAAGCCGGGAGGCAGCAGTTGAAAAAAAAAAAAAAAATCCAGCAAGGAGTTAAAATGAAGAGGCTTCTCAAAAAAACGGCTTTAAACCACAAAAGTTTTCACTGCCAGCACATTTTCACATTACCCCTCCTCCCCCCAAAAAGCTGGCAACCTTTAAATTGGATGGCTGTGCTCCTGAGCAAGTGCAGAGTGCATTTTCTGCCCATCAGAGAAAAGGGGGCTGGGGTCCTCCCCCCCCTTTAAAGCATCTGCATGTTTTTAACCAGTTGTGTGAACTGAGCTGCTGTGGTTTCTAAACAAGAGTTTGTGACTTAGCGTGTTGGCTCTATCTAGAGAATTGTGGTTTATTTGATAAACCAAACCACAGCTTAGCGATATGTGGATATTAACAAGAGTCCAATTTCCCCCCCCTCCCCCGTGAGCTCTTTGGGGTGACTGGCAGCCCATCATCGGATTTCTCAACCCTTTTTCTGGCCACAATCTTCCTCTTCGCCAAGGTCCCAAAATCCTGGCCTAAGATTAAAACTAACCAATTTTAAGCTGGGGGGGGGTCACATCTGCTGGCCTTCCTGGGGCCTGCTGAAGCCGGTTGGATAAAAGTGGGTGTTTCCTGGAAGCAGGTGTAAAAAGAGGGGACAGAAAAAGGGAAAGAAGGAGAGAAGGAAGGGAAAGATCAATAGGTGAGGAAGGAAGGAGGGAGGGAGGGAAGGAAGGAAGGAAGGAAGGAAGGAAGGAAGGAAGGAAGGAAGGAAGGAAGGAAGGAAGGAAGGAAGGGCACTTAGACTTACATACCGCTTCCCAGTGCTTTACAGCCCTCTCTAAGTGGTTTACAGAGTCTGCATATTTGCCCCCAACAGTCTGGGTCCTCGTTTTTACCGACCTTGGAAGGATGGAAGGCTGAGTCATCCTTGAGCCGGTCACGATCGAACCCCTGTCTGTGGGCAGAGCCAGCCTGCAATACTGCATCCTAACCACTGTGCCACCAGGGCTCCTGGGACCCCCAACCTCTCAAGCACCCCCCACCTTAAAGAGCAAAGAGAGGGTCTCTCTTTGGCGCCTGGTCCTCTGCCTGGTCCTTCAATCCCTTTCTGATTTCTCGGGGGCGCCCTTTGGCCCCTGCCCACCCCCTGCCAAAAGAGAAAGACAGATACCCAATCCCCCAAGATGCCCCCCTCTCCTGCCTCCTCCTCCAGCCTCCCCCCCCCACCATCTCTCTCCCTGGCAAGGCGAGAGGGCAGAAGCCGCTGTCAGAGGAAATGGTGCCTGCCTCCGTTGCATGTTAAGCTCCTTCGGCGACGTGCCTGGAATGTGGAGGCAACCAGAGAGGCTGGCACGGAGCTCCCACTGAGGGGGCAGAGAAGAACCTTGGCTGGCGGGGGGGGGGGATGAGCAGGGGCCGGGCAGGTCCTTGCAAAATCAGGCCTATTTTAGGCTTGGCAGGAGCCCTCCTTCCCATCCAGATGGCATCCCGTTCCCGTTTTTTTGGGGTGGAGGGCAGAAAAGTTCCCAAATGTTGCAAAGGCAAACACAGGCAGGACCTGCCCCGTTGCATTTGGGGGGGGGCTGTAAAAAAGGCTGTTTCTACCCACATCATTTTCCTTCTGTTCTGTTTTTTTTTTTTTAATTTATTTCTGTACAAATTACTCCACTGAAAAGTGCAGCCCCGGACCGGTTTTTTTAAACAACCCAATTAAACCTTAAGACCGCCATCTCTGTGCGAAATCACAGCTTTCAGTGTTACGCATGTCCAAATTCGTTGTGCGGCTCGGATGAAGGGTCTCCGAATCCAGCAAAATCCCTGCACGAGCAAGGGGGTGGCCTAGAGGATCTCCGAAGCCCCCCTCAACCCTCCCCATTTGACGTCCCTGGGTGTCTGAAAAGGCCCATCCGGAGGCGCCTTGTGTCCGCATCCAGCCGCTTGGCAAAGGCAACACACACAAAACCCGAAGCAGATCCAGCCTTTTCCTTTTCCTTCATGCTCCTCCGTCCACAAGGCTGCCCCAAATTCCTTGTTTCTCCAACAAGTGGGCTCTCCTTTGCTCACTTAGCGGCTGATGAACTCCGCGCCGTATTTACAAGCCTCTGATTAATACGCAGCCGCCTCATTTGCTTAATTCCTTTTTATTAAGAATTAAGCAAATGACTTTGAACACGGAGGAGAAGGCCAAGTTCCCCCCACCCCCACCCGCTCTTCCGGAGGCGGAAATAGTAATAGCACTCTAGTAATAGTAGTAAAGTTGGAAGGGACCTTGGAGGTCATCTAGTCCAACCCCCTGCTCGGGCAGGAAACCCTACACCATTTCGGACAAATGGCTGTCCAGTCTCTTCTTAAAAACTTCCAGTGTTGGAGCATTTACTGCTTCTGGAGGCAGGTTGTTCCACTGATTAATTGTTCTCACTGTCAGAAGTTTCTCCTTAGTTCTAGGTTGCTTCTCTCCTTGATTAGTTTCCACCCGTTGCTTCTTGTCCTGCCTTCAGGTGCTTTGGAAAATAGCTTAATTCCCTCTTCTTTATGGCAGCCCCTGAGATATTGGAATACTGCTATCATGTCCCCCCTTGTCCTTCTCTTCGTTAAACTAGACATACCCAATTCTCGCAACCGTTCCTTATATGTTTTAGCCTCCTATTTTCTTTGCCTTTTTAAAAATATATCCTTTGGCCCCCGGTGGGCTTGCAAGACACAATTCCACTTTCGGGGGTGGTGGGTGGGATTGTTTTGATCCCGTTACGATTCGCCCCCAGGCGCAAGGATATTTTAACTTGAGAAAAGATGGCACGGGGCCAAATCTGACTGCTGGAGCCCCTTTCCAAGACGGTCCTCGAATTATGACCGTAAGGGAGCCTGACCCATCGCGGTCGTAAAATGAGCCACCCAATTTCATGACCTTTTTTCACAATGTTTGCTAGGGGGCGTTTTTGCTGAAAACTGGAAATGCCCCACCCCTGCTGACAATGTTCCACCCTCTATAGCTGATGCCCCGCCCCCACTGATGCCAGCCTGCCACCCCCCCCCCAAGGTTGCCGTTGTGGGCTAGACAAAGACACCCAAAGGCTTGGATGTGGCCAGCGGGCCGTATAATGCCCAGGTCTGGATTATATTAATGGAGTGTAAAACAATCTTTTGCAGCTTATTCTATGCTGCTTTAGAAGGAAGCTGGGAAACTGACATGAATCCTGATATTGCACATCAGCATATCTATCCAGCGAAACTGACAAGGCCACGCGCCTGCACGGTCAGCGGCATCGGAGAGCTGACAAAAGAGAGGGAAAAAATGGACAGCGACATGAAGACATGTACGTCTCTCTGAGCCTAACCTTGCCAATTTCACCGTTGGGCAGGCAGGGCAGGGCCAGGAAGCAAAGTGGGAAAAGAAGGAGGCAACAGGAACACTTTCCCGGTTCCGGTCAGTTTCACTGCAACTATTCTCAAGTCTGCCTGATTCAGCAAATTGGGTATGTGATCTGCCTTGCTGCTTGGCTGTCAATCAAAGCGTATTTGACGTCTTTTTCTGAGCTTTAAGATCCAAATCTGATTCTAAGGGTCTCTTTGCAGTCAAACTATTCTAGGAGCTGCAGGTGGTCCTCGGTTTATGACCATAATGGACACCGCCCAGCAAGTCATGAATGGTTGTAAAGAGGGCCATCTAGTGGCCAACCTGATTTCATGACCTCTTTTTGTGGCAGTCATTAAGCAAACGTCGCAGTCATGAAATGGATGCCATGGTTGTTCAGCAAATCAATTGTTCGTGATGGGGGCCCTTTTGCTGAAAACTGGAAATGTCTTTTTTTTTTGGGAAAAATGTAAAATATGGTCACATGACCCTGGGATCCTGCAAATAGCTGTAAATGTTTTCAGTTTCTAGATTCCCTCCTTGTGCAGATCTGCTTCAACACTCCTGGTTTTTTTCATGCCCTTCCATGAAGCACTTTTTCTCCCCTTGGACAGAATTCAGGGAATCAACTACTTGTCCCGTCAACTTGCAAGTTGCATTTACTTACATCTAGCTGGGAGACGGTACCCACAGGTGATCTTCGCTTTTCCTGTCTCACAACCATTCAGGGTCCTGCACTCTTCTTTCAGCAAAGGTCCCGCAGCGCGATGGATACACCCGTCCACTGTGAAAGGAATTAAAATAAACACACAAATGCATGCATTGTCAAAATAATAATAATAATAATAATAATAATAATAATAGGAGGAGAGGAAGAAGAGGAAGAAGAAAAAGAAGAAGAAGAAGAAGAAGAAGAAGAAGAAGAAGAAGAAGAAGAAGAAGAAGAAGAAGAAGAAGAAGAAGAAGAAGAAGAAGAAGAAGAAGAAGAAGAAGAAGAAGAAGAAGAAGAAGAAGAAGAAGAAGAAACCATTTGTTTATCTGTTGCAAGAACATCGGACAGACTGACCTCAAGCAACGACATGACAAAATAGTAACAACGGTGCATTGAAAGATCGGCAAGAAATAATACTTGCCTGCAAGCAAAAACCAGGAGGGGGGACCATAAAATAGAGAAAATAATGGAAAACAAAGAAGCTAAAGTGCTCTGGGCCTTTAGAATTCAAACAGACAGACACCTGCCACATAACACCCCAAACTTAACAATTGTCGATAAGAAAGATTTAAAAAAAAAATCTGGATGCTAGAAAGAACGGAAGAAGACAAAACAAAATGCAAAGACCTGCAAATAGAAATAGAACAACCGGGGCAAAAGAAAGCACAGGTAGTCCCAGTAGTAAAAAGCACCTTGGTTGCAATCCCAAAACCACTGGAGCATCACTTGAACACCGTTGGCATTGACACAGTGGGAGGGAGGGAAAGAAGGAAGGAAGGAAGGAAGGAAGGAAGGAAGGAAGGAAGGAAGGAAGGAAGGAAGGAAGGAAGGAAGGGAGAGGGAGAAAGATGGGAGGTAGACAGGGATGGAGGGAGGGAGGAAGGAAGGAGGGAAGGAAAGAAGGAAGGAAGGAGAGGGAATGGGAGGAAGGAAGGAAGGAAGGAAGGAAGGAAGGAAGGAAGGAAAGAGAGAGGGAATGGGAGAAAGGAAGGAAGGAGAATGGGAGGGAGAGGAAGAAAGATGGGAGATAGGGAGGGATGGAGGGAGGAAGGAGGGAAGAAAAGGAAAGGAAAAAAGATGGAAGGAAGGAAGGAAGGAAGGAAGGAAGGAAGGAAGGAAGGAAGGAAGGAGAGAAGGAAGGAAGGAAGGAGAGAAGGAATGGGAGGGAGGGAAGACAAGCTGACATGGAACTGCTGGCCTGACTTCCTCTCTGCTCTCCAGCCCTTACAAAAAAAGCCCCATTGATCAGGAAAGTCCATTATTAGCTCATTCGGAGTCCATCTGCTAATCCATAAAACAGTATTTTACCCGTTGCCTTTTGAGGGGAGTCGATAAAGCCCAGAGAGGCAGGCAGAGGGTGGCTTTGCTTTAGAGCAGGCAAACCCTCCGTGCTGGCTCAGCCCCGCCACCGTCATCAAGAGGAAAGGAGTGTGTGGGGGGGTCCTGCCTGAATTCTGGGGGTCGACCGGAGGGGTTCAGCCTAATAGAAAGCCATGCGGAAGCAGACTGGGGTTCAAACATCTGAACTCGGGGTTCTTTGACCACCTAACCACGTATTTATGGCGGTTGCTGTATCCCGGGCTCACGTGTGTCTCATCTGTGACCTTCCCCGGTAACTTCTGGAAAGCCAAGTCAAGGAGAGGGACGAGGTTCACTTAACAACTGCCTGACTCGCTTATCAACCGGGACCCCAAAAGTCCTAAAATGGGCAAAGCTCCCTTAACAACTGCCTTGCTTGGCAATGGAGGTTTTGGGCTCAGCCGCGTCCGTAAGCCGAGTGTGACCTCCACTTAGGTAAACATTTCCATTTAAAAAAATTTAAACAAGGTTTAAGTAAGGTTTAGTAAGGAGATGTTTCTATTGAAACATTTAGGCAGGGTTTGAGTACTATTTAAATTGGTCGGTGTTTCTGTTTAAAGATCTTAAGTCATGTTTTAAATAACATTGAAATAATATTAACTAAGGTATTTAAATGAAGGTTTATTTCATTTTGACTCGCCTCCCTGTGGCTAGGCAGGGCTTTTAGCCAAATCATGGGTTACGGGGGCCAGTAAAACAAAACAGGCAACAGGGAACTTTAAAAAAAGTTTTTAAAACAATCAACAGCTATCAAACACATCAAGGAGCGAAGCAACCTGGAACTAAGGAGAAACTTCCTGACAGTGAGAACAATTAACCAGTGGAACAACCAGCCTCCAGAAGCGGTAAATGCTCCAACCCTGGAAATTTTTAAGAAGAGACTGGACAGCCATTTGTCTGAAATGGTACTATAGGTTTTCCTGCCTGAGCAGGGGGTTGGACTAGATGACCTCCAAGATCCCTTCCAACTTTACTATTATATATATACTTCGTTGAAACGTCGCCAAGACACTTCCAATGTTATGCAGGAGAAAACCCGAATAACCAAAGACCTACGTGTGTGTGTGTGTGTGTGTGTGTGTGTGTGTGAGAGAGAGAGAGAGAGAGAGATGGGCAAGGATTTTCTTGAGGGGGTCTGCTCCCCTCTATGCAGCAGCTTCATATGATTGCAAAGGAAAAAAAAAACATTTTTTGTCTCCAAAGTAATTTTAATGCATCTTGTGCTATCCAAGATGCTGCTGGAAATCTTGTGGGTTTTTTTTTCTTGCTGTCTGTATAATGCCACACAGAATATTTTTTTTATACATAATTGCATCAAAATTGCCCTCATTTGGGGGAAGAGGGCTATTTATCGGCTATAGCATCGCTCTGTGGATATTTTATTTCAAAAGGCTGCCGGAAAATCTGTACATGTTTTGTGTGCGCTTTGTAGCGTGTTTTCGCACCTTGTTTTCCTAATACACCCATTTCCAAAAGCGGCGCTTCCCGACAACACGGCCCGTTTTATTTTCCAGTGACAACAAGCGTCGCAAAGCACAAATCCACATCTGAATGGCTCGGTTGAAGAGGAAATTCGGCGAGTTGAAATGTCGGCCTCCAGACCGTACATGCCTGGCTCTCCCCCCCCCCCCCGTGACAAAACTGGAAATATTATTCGCAAATTCTCCGGGAAGGATTTGCTGAGGATCACAATTCCTCCGGGCCTCCCTCATCTGGCTGCGAGCAGAAAGGTGCCCTTGTCGCTGAAGATGCTAACACAGAGAGACACAACGTGCCGTTACACTAATATTGTGCGTGCCGAAACCCTTGGAGAGTGTCGCCTTTGGGTCTTTTAAACCAAATTTGTCTGCTTGTTTCAGAAGGGAAGAGCAAACAGTTTTTTAAAAAGAGAGAGAGAGAAACAGGGTGCTTTGCAAGGGGCAACCGTGGGTGAGGGCTCCCCTGCCTTGGGGTATGTCTGCCTTACAGCCAGGGTTGGGCCAGGGCAAGGGGCAAAGGGGTGAGGCCAAGAGAGGAGGGCTGTGACCACTAGGGGCCGGCTCCTTGCTCTGAAATGCAATCCAGGGATTGACAGGGGGAGAAGCAAAGTGGCCCCAAATTGGAACACGGGGAGGGGGGGCATCACTTTTGGGGCGTTCTGCAAAGCAACCCATTCCTTCCGTCTCCCCAATGTCCCTTTTCACCCAGGAGAGGGCACAGAACGCAGGCAGCTCCTCCTCCTGCTCCTCCTCTTCCCTCTCCTCCTCCTCTTTCACCCTAACCTTCCCCTCTTCCTCTTCCTCCTTCCATCCCACCATCCCTGCCGCCTTGCTGAAGCTTCTCCTTCTCCGCTGACTCTGGGGGTTCAGGACAGGCTCCAAAACTTGAATCAGAGGGCCAAGGAGCCAAGATCTGGAAGCCTCTCGTCATCCCTGTCTATTGATGCAAGCATTTCACTTCTTTTTTTTATTATTTTATTTTATTTTGTTTTACGAGGCCTGTAAAAGTGAGGAGAAGAATACAAAACCTGGAGGTAAACTGAAGGCACTTGCCGCAAAAGGGGGAAAAATAATTTATAAGCTTGTTGCACGGAGCACTGAAATTTATTGCCGCGATTCAGGATGCTGTAGCCCAAGCAGTGAAAGGGCTGCGGAAAACAGAGAGCTGTAGGTGCGGGGGGGGGGGGAGGAGCAGGGAAGAAAGAGGAAAGAAGGTAAAAAGAAAAAAAAAGATGATGAAGGAAGGAAGGAGGGAGGGAAGGAAGAAAGAGGAGGAGGAGGAGAGGAGGAGAAGAAGAGGAGGAAGAGAGAAAAAGAAGGAGGGGGAGGAAGAGGGGCAGGAGAAGGAGGAGGGGGAAGAGGAGGGGAGGAGGAGAAGAAGAAGGAGGAGGGGGAGGAGGAGAAGAAAGAGGGGGAGGAGGAGGAAGAGGAGGAGGGGGAAGAGGAGGGGAGGAGAAGAAGGAGGAGGAGGAGGAAGAGGAGGAGGAGGAGAAGAAGAAGGAGGAGGGGGAGGAGGAGAAGAAAGAGGGGGAGGAGGAGGAAGAGGAGGAGGGGGAAGAGGAGGGGAGGAGAAGAAGGAGGAGGAGGAGGAAGAGGAGGAGGAGGAGAAGAAGAAGGAGGAGGAGGAGGAAGAGGAGGAGAAGAAGGAGGGGGAAGAGGAGGGGAGGAGAAGAAAAAGGAGAAGAAGGAGGGGGAGGAGAAGGAGGAGGAGAAGAAGAAGGAGGGGGAGGAGGAGGGAGAGGAGGGGAGAAGAAAGAGGGGGAGGAGGAGGGGAGAAGAAGGAGGGGAGAGGAGGGGAGAAGAAAGAGGGGGAGGAGGAGGGGGAGAAGAAGGAGGAGGAGGAGAAGGAGGAAGGGAGGAGGAGGAGAAGAAGAAGGAGGAGGGGGAGGAGGAGGGAGAGGAGGGGAGGAGGAGAAGAAAGAGGGGGAGGAGGAGGGGAGGAGGGGAGAAGGAGGAGGAGAAGGAGGAGGAAGAGGAGGAGAAGGAGGAGGAGGAGGAGGAGGGGGGAGCCGTTTCAGAGAGCCAGGGTGCTAAAGATGGGAAACTCCTTTCTGAGAAAAAGACCCTCAAGTTCCAGGATTATTTAGCCACCCATAACAGGACAAACCGACACTAGACCATGAAAGAAGCATCTGAAATAGGAGATGCCGTCCAAGGGAATCCAGAGGGCCTGAGTCGCTGTGATCACCTCTCCCCCCCCCCAGGACCAAAGGGGGCCTGCCCAGTGCTCCGCTT